GGAAAGGGAGGGAAAGGAAAGGAAAGGAAAGGAAAGGAAAGGAAAGGAAAGGAAAGGAAAGGAAAGGAAAGGAAAGGAAAGGAAAGGAAAGGAAAGGAAAGGATTCTTACTAGAGCAGAAGATGATTCAAGGCAGAGCAAGTTGTCAGGACTGAAAGATCAGTGACCATCCCAGGACAGATGCAGAAGGCAAGTGAGCGGTTCTTGGTTCCGCCCCAGGTCTTCCTATATATAGCCCAATGATACATCATAGTTCCCGGACGTCTGGAACGGCATCCAATTTTCTACGTACACCTCTCAATAGGGCGAGGTAGAGGTGACTATTGGTATGGTAAGGTCACTTCTTACCCCACCAGACACATTCTTGGAATGCTTAGGCTTTGGGGGGACACCCTTCTATTTGCTCAGAATTTCAAGAGCCCTTTAGGAATGAATTTTATGCGTCATACTGGGAAAATCCCGACAGCCTTTCAAAGACAGCTTTTGAATTTCTGAGTACTCGGAACAGCTGGGGAAGGAAGCTATCCAGTTTCCCAGCCAATGACATTGCCGAGGGACCACTAGTTCATAACTCGATGTGGGAGGATGGGTAATAACTGGAGGAAATTGAGTAGGTGGCCAACGATGGGATGAGCAATTCAGTTGGATGGCCGATGAACAGACTTGGTTTACAGGAAATGATGGAGAGACTGTCTTGCATCATGAGTGTAGAAGGAAGACGCATGTCTGAAGACTGAATCCTCACCTACAGAGGCAGCCATGGCAAGGTGGCTTGGCGAGTTTTCCCAATCCATACACGGATGGGATGTAGGCCAGGCCCTGGGAACAAGGAAGGAATGAATGAACCATGAAGCATTTCAGAAAAAAATTATGAAAAAGGAGAAAAACGAGAAAGAAACTCAAACTATCCCTGCCTTGATTTTGTTTAATATAAGATGTGAAAGACAGAAATTTTGACAAGGTTTCAGAATTTAGTTTTTGGGGGTGTTGTGTTGTTTTTTTTGACAAGGTGAATGAATCTGAAATAGAGGCATGGTGATGTACTGAGTTACAGGGTGGAAATTATCTGGTTGTTGGGAGCCCAACCCCTTTCCTTTCCAGTTTAAAACAATGCCAATAGTCCTTTTATAATTCAAATATTCATCATATACACCAGACATGTCAAACACAAGGCCCGGGGGCCGGATGCGGCCCACAAAGTGGTTTCATGTGGCCCGCGAAGCCATCCTGGAAACAGTGAGGGAATGGCCCCCTCTGCCTTGGCCCTGACCCAGGCCAGCCGGGAGCCAATGTACAATTTTGTGGTGGCCATCGTGGCACTTGCCCCAGTGGACCATGCCTTGCACTTGCCCCGGTCCCACTCCCTTCTGCCAGAGACCCTCAGATCTGTCCCACTCCTGCCCAGGCCCCCCCAGGCACCCTTGATGCGAATGATGTAGAACTGGCCACGCCCACCCAATAGGCCACACCCACTCCATCCACGCCCCACCCATTAGGCTGCACCAACTCTGGCCACACCCATCCGGCCCCCCCAGGGCAACCGCAATGCTGATGCGGCCCTCAGTGAAATTGAGTTTGACACCCCTGATATACACCATTCAGGTGCCCTGTACTCATAAACAGGTTTACCTATTATTCCAGTAACAGTAACAGAGTTGGAAGGGACCTTGGAGGTCTTCTAGTCCAACCCCCTGCTCTCGCAAGACGCCTATACTATTTCTGATAAATGGTTGTCCACTCTCTTCTTAAAAGCTTTCAATGATGAGGCAGCCTCAACTTCCAAAAGCAATTTGTTCCACTGGCTAAATGTTCTCACTGTTAGGTGAGATTATAGTAAATACATTTATTTCATTGTGTTATTTTGCAGCTCCTTGTTGTGAGAACTGGGCCTGTATTTCAGCTGCTCAGAGGAAGAAGCAGTTTCAAAATTAAATCACTTCCATTTTCCAGTAAATGGGGATGAATCACGTCCAAGTTCCCCACCATCTGCAGTTACAGATGGGGCAGGCCAATAACAAAACGTGTGCAATGAGGTCATCCACAAATGCTGTGAGTTGCCTACTATCATCTATCTTGGCATTTGTCTATGGAGATTCTCACTCATCCAGATCATAATTATCCCAAAAGGTGCTTTTTCAAGAGGCAACTGGACTTTCTTGTTTTTCTTTGAAGACGTTTCGCTTCTCATCCAAGAAGCTTCTTCAGCTCTGACTGGATGGTGGGGAATGGAAGGATTTATATTCCTCACAGACAGCTGTTCATTTGCATTCTTTTAGGGCAGGGCTTTTCAACCTTTTCACCCATTGTACCACTTTTAGGATATGGCAATATCCGAGTACCACCAGTCGCCTAGCAAGGGGTCAAAAACTTGATGACCAAAAAAGAAAAAAGAAAAAAAGTGATGAAGTACAGGTAGTCCTCGACTTACAACAGTTCACTTAGTGACTGTTCGAAGTTACAATGGCACTGAAAAAAGTGCCCCCCAAGCCACAGCCGAGCAAGACACCTGCCTGCCCACCCGATGGCGCTCTTCCTCCTGTCCGAGGTTTTCATTGTTGTGAGCATTTCTGTTGAGGATTGGCAGTGGGGGTGGGGTGGGGGGGTGTTTGGTTTTTATTCCCCCCGTCTGCTGGGTGGTTGCAGCAGGTTTTGGTCACTTCACATGACCCTGGGACACTGTGACCGTCATAAATATGAATCAGTTGCCAAGCATCTGAATGTAAATCACAAGACCCTGGAGATGCTGCAACATTCCAGCTGATCGGCGCTTCTTCTGGGCTCAGCAGAAGCACCAGGATCAGTGCTGCTTTCCAGCTGATCGGCACTTCTTCAGGGCTCAGCAGAAACGCCAGGATCAGTGCTGAGCTCCAGCTGGAACCTGGCGCTGATCCTGGCGCTTGTGCTGAGCCCTGACAGCCCTGAAGCTCCAGCCATCTCTCGCTCAGGCTTGTGCGGTGCTGTCACCGGTTCAGCTCATTCCCCTCCCCCGCTACCACTTTTCTAGGATGGTCACGTACCACTTGCCAGGTGCCAATGTACCATGGGTGGTACCCGTACCACTGGTTGAAAAGCCCTGTTTTAGGGAGTCCTTGAGGACATAGGTAAACCTCCAAGTGGCCTCAGTGACTCTCTAAAAGAATGCAAATGACCAGCTGTCTGCAAGGAGTATAAATCCTTCCATTCCCCACCATCCAGTCAGAGCTGAAGAAGCTTCTTGGATGAGAAGCGAAACGTCTTCAAAGAAAAACAAGAAAGCCCAGTTCCCTCGTGAAAAAGCACCTTTGGGATAACCATGGCATTTGCAGTATTTGCCTTACAATATCATCATGTACTGGTGTCATTGAAATGGGTTCTGGATGCTTGCCATCCAGTTTCTAGAAATTTCTATCTCTACTTCCCCAAGAGTAAGGCAATACAGGCCGTCCTCAACTTATGACCGCAATTTAAGCCCAAAACGGCTGTAGTTAAGCAAGACAGTTGTTAAGTGAGATTTGCCCCATTTTACAAAAACTTTTTTTGCCGCAGTTATAAAGTGAATCACTGCAGTTGTTAAGTTAGCAGCACAGTTGTTCAGTGGGTCTAGCTTCTCTGTGGACTGGACAAAAGGTCGCAAAAAGCGATCGTGTGACTCCAGGACACTGCAGCCGTCGTAAATATGAACCAATGGCCAAGTGTCTGAATTTGGATCATGTGACCGTGGGGATGCTGCAACGGCCGTAAGTCTGAAAAATGGCCGTGTCATTTTTTTTCAGGGCCGTTGTATCTTCGAATGGGAGCTAAACAAATGGTTATAAATTGAGGACCACCTCTGGACTTTGGGGAGTGGTTCTATCATACCCTGAGCCGTGGTGGCGCAGTGGTTAGAATGCAGTACTGCAGGCTACTTCTGCTGACTGCCGGCTGCCAGCAGTTCGGCAGTTCGAGTCTCATCAGCTCAAGGTTGACTCAGCCTTCCAGACTTCCGAGGTCGGTAAAATGAGGACCCAGATTGTTGGGGGCAACAGGCTGACTCTGTGAACTGCTTAGAGAGGGCTGTAAAGTACTGTGAAGCGGTATATAAGTCTAAGTGCTATTGCTATAATGTGTTTCCCCGAAAATAAGACCCAACCAGAAAATTAGCCCTAGCACAGGGGTTGTCATGCCTCCGTCTGAGCCTGAATCTGAGGAGGAAGTGGAGCCGGAACAGGACCTGTTGATGCCCAGCAGGGGGTGTCTGTGGCTTTGGAGGACTGTGGGGAAGAGCAGGCTGAGGCAGGCCAGGGCCCTTCAGGTTTGGAACAGGGAGACAGAGTTCAGGCGAGGAGCAAGGCCCACCCCCACCTGATCCTAGAGCTAGGAGAGTGGAGAGGAGGAGGGAACAACGCAGGCAGGCTCACTTACTCGGGAGGAGAGCGTCCCACCCCACCTCACAAGGCACACTTGGGGATTGAGATATAAGGAGCCGCTGTGGGGGTGAGGACTTGGTCGGGAACAAACGCGGAATCTTGGGACAGTTGTGTATTGTTGCTCGTCATTTGTTGGAAAACCTGGACAACTTGACTACCTGACTGGCTGACCACGTGGGTTTCCTGATTTACGATCTCAGACTGCATTTCAGTGTCTCACCTTGCAGACTGCTCAGGCAAGCTGAAATTCAAACGGGCTCATTAAGTTTATGGTTTGTTTTGTTTATCTGTCTGGCCTTTGCCTTTAGCCAGAGGCAGCTGAAAGGAATGTGTGTGTGCTTTGGTTGAAGGCTTGCCAGCAAACGTGGGAGCTTTTGGGGGGAATTTGCAGCTATTAAAGGACTGTTTACATTGCCAGCTGACTGCATTGACTCTGCGCGGGGCCCTGGGTCATCACAGGGGTCTTCAAACTTGGCCTTTTTATGACTTGTGGACTTCAACTCCCAGAATTCCTCAGCCAGGCAGGCTGGCTGAGGAATTCTGGGAGTTGAAGTCCACAAGTCATAAAAGGGGCCAAGTTTGAGGACCTCTGCCCTAGCATGATTTTTCAGGATGCTCGTAATATAAGCCCCACCCCCAAAATAAGCGCCAGGTAAGATCGTCAGCAAGATGGACACATCTACTGCTGTATTTTCCCGAATATAAGCCCTAAATGGAAAATAAGCCCTAATGCATCTTTTGGAGTAAGAATTAATATAAGACCCGGTCTTATTGGCAGGAGTCCTTATATCATCCCAGAGAAATGGCTATCCAATCTGACTGAGAATTTCCACAGACATTTATGGAGAATGAATCTAAGCCCTCTTCCTAGGGCCCTATCAGTCCTTCAGGTAATGAAAGACAGCTATCCCCAATCCTTCTCTTCATTAGGCCAGTGGTTCTCAACCTTTTTAATGCCGCGACCCCCAACCGGTCGTAAGTCGAGGACTAAACCGGTCGTAAGTCGAGGACTAAACCGGTCGTAAGTCGAGGACTAAAAAGGTCGTAAGTTGAGGACTACCCAACCGGTCGTAAGTCGAGGACTTTCCCTGCCCGGGAACACCGCGCATGCGTGGTTCTGCCCCCTGCGCCGGCCGAGGCGTAGCTGGCAAGCAGCAGAGATGGAGCAGGCCGACCACCAGCTGGCCCAGCCCAAGGGAGGTAAGGCACCCGCCGGAAAAGGGGAAAAAAATGGCAGACAAAAAAAATGGCGGACAGCCTTGCTTGGCGACCCCCGTGAAATGGTCGATCGACCCCAAATGGGGTCGCGAGCCATAGGTTGAGAACCGCTGCATTAGGCTAAAGATACTTAGTTCCTTTGGCCGTTCATCTTACAATTTAGCCTCAAGATCCCTCATCATTTTTGTCACTCTTCTCTGCACGTTTTCTATGGCTTCGACATCTTTCCAGTTCTAATTACTCAGCTTTTTGCGCAATCCACTGTGACACTACACCATTTCAAATTCAGTTCCAAAATCTCTCCAAAAGCCACAGTAATTGCAATGTGAGGACTTATCAACTGCTGGAAATGTCACAAGCCTGGATTTAAATCCACATTGGCCAACCATGATGGCTGAGACTTCTGGGTATTGTTGCATTTAAGAGGTAACAGCTTAAATAACAATTAGGTAGAGATGTTGGAGGCGTATGTTGCACTAATGCAGTTTATCACACCATGATTTTGGAGAAATCAGAAGGGTCTGCTTCAAACAAAATACTAAATTGTACAAACTATAGCTGTCTTCATACCAAACCACAATGAAATACAATTTGGCATGATAGAGCAGGCAGGCATTATCCACTTTGATAGCTCATTTTCCAGGATCCTACAGTGCCATCTAGTGACTAATTGATAATGCAAAAATGCATTATTATTATTATTATTATTATTATTATTATTATTATTATTATTATTATTATTATTATGCCATATCCGTTATCGGATGTTGGCGATCACATTGGCGATTCTGTTTTTATCAGCAGCCGCACAAAAAAGTGCTGCTGAGTTTTGTCCAAACCAGTCCCTTAAATTTTGAAGCCACGATGTTCTTCTTCTGCCTGGACCTCGTTTGCCTTCCATCTTTCCCTGGAGGATTAAATGGAGCATGCCGTATTTTTCTGGGTGTCGCATCACGTGTCCGAAATATTCTAACTTTCGTTTTTTAATTGTAATAATAATGATGATGATGATGATGATGATGATGATGATGATGATGATGATGATGATGATGATGATGATGTTGGAAGGGACCTTGGAGGTCATCTAGTCCAACCCCCTGCTTTCCCAGGTGGCTTATCACCTCCTCATTTCTGATCTTGTCAAGCCAGCTTATACGTAACAGCCACCTGTAGATCCACATTTCAAAAGCTTCTAGTCTCTTCAGGTGGCCTTCTGTCAGAGACCAACTCTCTACTCCATAGAGCAGGATGGAAAAAATATAACATCTGACAAGCCTGATTTTCAATCTTAATGCATTATGCATTAATGCAAACCATGCTGGACGGGACCTTGGAGGTCTTCTAGTCCAACCCACTGCTCAAAGCAGGAGCCTTGAAAATATGTTTATTTAACCCATAATTGTAAAGTAACATTGGTTGGTAGATACAATGGACTGTTCCTCATCTCTATTTTATAGGATTTTTTAATTTAAAGATGTAGCCAATCATCAATAAAATGGAATGCATTAGCTTATTACTTAATAGGTAATAGCTAAGATAACAATATGTTTCCTTATCTAGAGCTAAAACAGATGCCTCCTTATTTATAGTAAACCATATGTCTTTATCTCTTGGTTAAAACAGATATCCCCTTAAACGAGCATTTATTTTTTTTATTTACTTGAACACTGTGCCCTATCGAACAAAATGAAATTCAGTATAAAGTAAGGTTTTACACTGAGGCAGGAAAAACTAAATGTATAGGTACATTTGTTAACAGCAGTGACTGAGAGGGATCTTGGAATCCTAGTGCAGGGCTTTTCAACCAGTGGTACGGGGACCACCTGTGGTACATTGGCACCTGGCAGGTGGTACACGACCATCCTAGAAAAGTGGTAGCGGGGGAGGGGAATGAGCTGAACCGGTGGCACACTGCACAAGCTTGAGCGAGAGATGGCTGGAGCTGCAGGGCTGTCAGGGCTCAGCGGAAGCGCCAGGATCAGCGCTTCTTCGGGACTGTCAGGGCTCAGTGGAAGCACCAGGATCAGCGCCAGGCTCCAGCTGGAGCTCGGCGCTGATCCTGGCACTTCCACTGAGCCCAGAAGAAGTGCCGATCAGCTGGGATGTTGCAGCATCTCCAGGGTCTTGTGATTTACATTCAGATGCTTGGCAACTGATTCATATTTATGATGGTCACAGTGTCCCAGGGTCATGTGAAGTGACCAAAACCTGCTGCAACCACTCAGAAGACGGGGGGAATAAAAACCAAACACCCCCCCACCCCACCCCCACTGCCAATCCTCAACAGAAATGCTCACAATGAAAGCCTCGGACAGGAGGAAGAGCGCCGCTGGGCATGCAGGCAGGCATCTTGCTCGGCTGTGCCTTGGGGGGCACTTTTTTCAGTGCCATTGTAACTTCAAACAGCCACTAAGCAAACTGTTGTAAGTCGAGGACTACCTGTACTTTATCACTTTTTTCCTTTTTTTTTTTGGTCACCAAGTTTTTGACACCTTGCTAGGCGACTGGTGGTACTCGGATATTGCCATATCCTAAAAGTGGTACAATGGGTGAAAAGGTTGAAAAGCCCTGTCCTAGTGGACAATCACTTAAATATGAGCTAGCAGTGTGGAGTAGCAGCCCCAAAAAACGATCCTAGGTTGCATTAACACAGGGATAGAATCAAGATCGTGTGAAATGTTAATACCACTTTATAAAGCCTTAGTAAGACCACATTTAGAATACTGCATCCAATTTTGGTCAACATATTATAAAAATGATGTAGAGATAATTAGTGGGCTGGAGGCTTAAACATATGAAGAACAGTTGCAGGAATTGGGTTTATCCAGTCTAGTGAAAAGAAGGATTAGGGGTGACATGATACTAGTGTTCCAATATTTGCACAAAGAAGAGGGAGTCAACCTATTCTCCAAAGCACTCCAAAGCAAGGAAGAGAAACTAATCAAGGAGAGAAGCAACCTAGAACTAAGGAAAACATTTCCTAACAGTGAGAACAATTAACCAGTGGAATGGTTTGCCTTCAAAAGCTGTGGCACTGGAGGCTTTTAAGAAGAGACTAAACAGCCACTTGTCTGGAATGGTATAGGTTTCCTGCTTGAGCAAGGGGTTGGACTAGATGACCTCCAAGTTCCCTTCTAACTCTTGTTATTCTGTTATATTATGATAGTAAGATATATGTCTTCTTTTATATAGGTTTTGCTATGTGAGGTGTTCATATGTTTATAATGGCTTTATAATTAGTTATTAGTTTTTTTTTCCCTAATGGCTTTACAACTGTCCTTGGTGCTCTATGAACTTGGCTTTGTTGCTTGCAGATGTTTCATTACCAAATTAGGTAACATTATCGTTGCTAGTGGGTGTGACTTCCTGTTCATGTGCAGGAGCTTTCCCTGCCAGTGTTGGTTGGGCTGAGGTTTTCTCCTTGATAACTCCTAGATTAGGGTATTGTTTTCTGCTCAATTAGAAAATTTCTATTTTACATCTCTATGAAATGAGTCGCCACTAATAAAATCTGTTTTTAAAGGCATTCACTGTGCCAAGGAAAACTTGTTTGCATGATTTTTTTTTCTCTCCAGGTTTTTAAATTTTATAATGAATTGTTCCAAGTACCTTGAAGTTTCCAAGCTGGTGCTTTTTAAGTTTCCCATAAAAGAAATAAGGTACATTAAAGCTACTTTATCCAGTCAGATGTATGAAAATACACCTCTTATCCCATCCTCTACTACGGCCAGGGCGGTTGAGAGTTTAATTTGGTTAGCAGTTGTAAGAGGCCCAGTGTGCATTTTTCGGTTGTAGCCTCACGCATCTGAAGAGGCAACGCGGTGCCAAACGAGGCGCTAACATTAATAACTCGCGATCTCAGATACCCTGAAAAATTCAAGCGTCGCCCAAACGGCACGTCTGAATCCTTAACTTTCCGGGACACCACCACCCCGAAACCTCGAGGATCTCTGCGAGCAACAGGCAAAGCACGAACTGGCAAAGTTGGATTTGGCAGAAGCGAGAAGCCAAAGTGACGTTCCATGCGCGCACTTCGATCGAGTCCTCCCACTTCCTAAACTTCACGCTTGGAGGCTCCGCACACGGACACACACACACACACGGACACGGCGCCTTTTTCTTCCGAAATTCAGCCTTCCGGGTTTGCAGAAGCAGCGCCATGTCCGTGAGCGTCCGCGACTACATCGGGAAAGTCCTTCGGGACTTGACGGACGACGAGTTCCGGAGGTTCAAGGCGAACCTCCGCGACTACCAGGTCGGGCCGGGCTACGAAAACATCCCCCGAGGGCAGCTGCAGAACGCGGACGCGCTGACAGTGAGCGACCTGCTGATCAGTTACTACTGCGAGGACTACGCCATGGAGGTGGCGTCCGCGGTGTTGATGGCCAGCAACTGCATGCCCCAGGCGCAGATGCTTCTCGGCCGCTAGAAAGGTAGCGCGCAGGGGATGAGGCGGTGTCGGCAGGGGAAAGAAGACTGGACGGGAGGGGGGTCTTCTCTAACCTACCAAGCCCCGGATGGGTTGTGCCTCAGTTCCCAGCCCAAGCTCCTTGGAGTAGTCCAGGAAGACCATAGCAATATCAAAAGCACTTAGACCAGTGATGGCGAACCTTTTAGAGACCGAGTGCCCAAACTGCAACCCAAAACCCACTTATGTATTGTTGGGTGCCAGGTTGGCGTGGCCCATTGGGTGGGCGTGGCTGCGGTGGTAACAGCAGACTGGGTGGGACTAAAAGGTTCAATCAATCCCAACTTTGCAAAATCTTTTCTTTTCCTGCGAGAAGTTGAAATTGATTGAGTGATTGAACCTTTTTTTTTTGCACACGGCGGCAGAGGCCTAAAGCGAAAAGGTTTTATAAAACCCAGCTGAAGGCCAA